TACAATAGTGAAGGTCCATGGCACGAGGGCCGGTGTTAGCCATGAATGGCGACGGGGAAGGGAAAGTTGGAGGCTTGGGCACTGGAGCTCACCGACGGCAGAGGACGAGGTTGTCAGTGGCGAGGTGGAGCTAAGAAATGGAGCCAATGAAGGAGTACAACACGACGCGGTGGAAGCTTGGTCATGGCTTAGCTTAGTCCAGTGCAGTGAGGAGGGCGATGCGGTGGTGGAGGTAGGGACGACATCGAGGTGTTGCTGCCATCCTCGAACGCTAGTGACATGATAGTGGGCAGGTAGCGGAGCCAAGGCTGGTGTAGAGGCATGGCTCCAGTGCTCAGGGAAAGGGGCTCGGCATCAGCGAGGCTTGGTGGAAAAAAGGAGTATGACATCACAGTGGCGATGTCATAGTGTGGACGGGAGCGGACATGATCGTGGTGAGCTCGGAACAGAGCATGGCGTGGTCAGCGTCGAGGTCGGCGATGAGATCATCGCGCCCATGGCACGATGTGGTGTCAAGGCGAGATCATGGCTCAGGGCGGGGTCAGCGCTGCGTGGCTTGTCGTTGCGACGTCATGGCGTGGTGAGAATGGAGCATGGGGAGGAGGAGGTGCGTGGCTGTGGACAAGGACGATTGGCTCAAAGTCACGGTCATAGAGGCAGAGGATGGCGGTGCTCGCGGTTAGCGGCGTGGAGCAGGGAGGTGGTCGAGGACATCAAGCGTGTCCACATGGTTGGCCGTGAGGCGGTGGGGTGGTGCGGAGCAACAGGAGGCGGTAAGGCTCAGTGAGGTAGAGGAAGTCACGGTGAGCTTGGTGGGCGGCGCTGCTCAGAGGAAGGAGAGCAGCGACATGCCAAGGTGGCACGATGACCGGCTGCGGACGAGCTCATGAGGAATAGGAAGGAGCAGAGGAGCACGACGGCAGATGGGGAATGGAGGAAGGGAGCGGCAGCGGCGGTATTTATAGGCATGGTGCTTAGGGATTCAATGTGATGGACGGCGGTGAGCATCGATGTCCGTACTCAGGGGCACGTGGAGCGCATCGGCACGGACAACAAGAGAGCGGGCGTGGGGTCAGGGTGCAGGGGCACGGTCGCGTGCGTAGCGAGTGACGATGGCAGCTCCTGAGGAGTAGGCACTCCCTAGGGTTAGGTGGGGGCGCAGGCCTATGGGGGCCATGGCATGCAGCTGGGCTATGGCTATGCACGTGGGCCGAGCAGGGCGGGAGCCGAGCTAGGCCTACAGGTGGAGGTGGGCTCAGCCACTGAAGGAGGGGAGCGGGGCTGGGCCATGGCGCGGTGGCCTGCTGCAGCGCGAGTGGGCCAAGTGGGAGAAGGGGAGCTAGGCCTAGCGCAGGTGAAGGGGAAGGGGAGAGGGAGTGGGCTAGTTGGGCTAGATTGAGAAAGGAAAAAGGAAAAGGAAACATCGATTTTCCTTTTATGAACTATGACTCAAGGGAATTGAGATGAATTCAAAAGAGAATTGAGAGGAATTTGCTATGGGTTCGTGCTCTCCAAACTCCATCAAGACTCAAACCAAGATCCAACTCAAGAACATAGGCATACTCCTACAAGCAATTCTATATGAATGCACAAATTATCGGTGAGCTCTCCTAGGTTTGACTAGGGTTAGACCTAGAGACTACATGCTTCACACAATTGCAGGAAACAAATTAAAAAGCTCATATTTTTTGTTGCCCAAAAACCCGGGTTGTTACACCTATATGGGCTAAGCCTAATTTCTAGTGTAAAAATCTAGCCCATGCTATATGGGCCAACTGGGCTAAATTTGTTTTAATGACAATTACTTTTGTCATACTACCTGTGTCACGTCACATGCCACCTCATGTGCCCGTCAGATCAATTGACACTTGTCATCATCCCGTCTAATATATTATGACAAATACAGTGGCAAATACCGTCGTCATAACTTGGTGACAAACATGAAAATGTCACTAAGATTATTGATAATTGGGTCTGTTAGTCACAGAAGGGGGATAATGACCCACCTTCTATGACCATAGCCATATCGTCACTACTGTGTCATAGAAGGGTACAATGACAAGAAAAGACTATAATTGTCACAATCTATTAGTCATAGAAGGACTAATCTCTTGTAGTGATAGTTTAGTGTGGGAGTTAGAGAGAGTAGTGAGCTTTGCTTGGGTTTCCAAGTCTGGTCTTCTAGAGAGTCTGGTATAGTTCTTGTACCTTTTTCTTTTCAGTAAGACCTTTACTTTTTTTAATACACTTATATTCTTTCTCTACCTTATAACATTATACTTGTTATATTGTTGTGGCCTATCATAGCATATAGTTGCTACATATTAGATTGTGATCCTGGCCCACACCTACATTATGATCATCGCCTTTCATTAGGTGCGCTAATTGGCCTGTGTGTACACAATTAGAGTAGTGAGAGAAAATGTAAGCGTTGTGCTTATATTCTATCTTGCCTTTGATTACCGCTTGTTGCATGGATAGATTGTGGATGCTAGCAAGAGGTGACAACCATGTCTAGTCTTTGTATTCCACCACATAGTCGAGATGAGATAAAAGGTAAGGTTAGTGTCAACTGTGTAGCCACTTCTTGTAGGAACTACTATTCCTAATATCTCGCTTACTGCCTAGTATACCTATTGTGTGGACTCAATCTGTGTTGCGATTATGTGATTAAGTTGGAACCATAGAAATAGAGTTTGAATCAGAGGAATCTTTTACTCTCTCATTGTCCTCCCAACTAACTATACCTTACTAATTATCTTGAGCTATCTTTATCTTGGCTTGTTGCATCAACCCTTTCTCATATTTCGTTTTACCCCTGCAGTAGTTGAAACTAAGTTGTGGTAAACATAAATATCTCTTATTTATTATCATTTATAGCTCCTGCTTTCCCTTAGGATTAAACAAATGACGATATCTTAGAATACTCTTTGCTGAAGTACTATAATGGTATTATGTGCGCCTGTGAAATTCCCTACTTGAGCATAAGAAATACCAATAGATACCTCTTACTATCGGTGCTTGCGCACTATTGTTGTACTCGAAGGGGCCTGTAGTCTTATGAGACCACACCAATTGCGTTTATGGTATGGCTGCCAATGTGTGCTGGATAAAATGGGGCTTGTGGTGCTTTGGCCGAAAGCTTGATACTGAAGATGTTGGAGAGCGGTCCGAAAGGCCATCTCGGAGTCCCACTTGCGCACGGTGAAGACCCTATAGATGGCAACGGGGCAGATTTGGATCAGGGAGTCTTTGGGCACCCAAAAACGAAACCCGAACTGAAAATCCAAACCTGCCCTGAACACCCTTTCGGGTGGAAATCCATCCCCGAAACCGAAAACCCGCGGATCGCCGAAGTGTATAGGATTACGAGGAAGCACGACATTTTTTTGCGAGGGCATCCAATGAGGATTAGGAAAAAGCGTGAGATTTTATATATCTTCGTCAAAATACTGAAGTCTCCGATCGGTGTTTCCATCTCTATCTCAATTAAGCTTCGACATTTATATTGTGTACCTAGATTGTGTGCTTACTATTCTAGTTTAGTTAGCTAAGCTAGTTGATAGGATTAGAATCTAGGTTGCATAACTCTTTTGCGGTAGAGATAGCAACATACCTAGCAAAACCTTATTTGCACATGTAAATAGACTATTTTATTGTATAGGTTTTGATAAGTGGAAATTAGAGGCCAAATTTAGAGTAAAAGTATTTAGAAAGTCTAATTCCTAGGTAATACCAGGCCATACTGAGAAACCATACAAAAGCAAGAGAACCCAAACTCCAAAAATACCATCAAGTTGTCAGAAAAATGGATCGGAGTTGTCCTAGGCATCACAACCAAAAGCATCCCTCATACAAAAAACGATGAGCTAGTGTAGACAACAACTCAATCCTTGTGCTTCCCACCTGATGTGTTCTATGAATTTGTATACCAAGAAACCATAACTATAGGCTTCAAGCAAGCGAAGCTACTAAACGTAATCGAGAGTAATGACTGGAGAGCTCCGATAATGGCACACGGCAAAAGGCCATTACGAGCTAGAAACCGTAGAAGAACTGAAGCACATGCAACAAATAAACCGAGGGTATAAGATCATAAACAACACTCTGTTTAAGGCAGGCGTCTGCACGCCACTCCAAGATCCGCCCTTGGTTTATATACTGGCATTCCTAGGTGTTGGAGAAGTAAAGGAAGTTTTAGTGCTTTGGCGCTGCTTTCAGATGACGATTATGCCAAAACAATAAGCATCTCGGCAGAAAACTAATAATAGAAGGTGCTAAATTAGCTATCATGAATATTCGCTGCGCACAAAGCATGCCTTCACACCCATTTTTCTAACCACTTGAACTTGTTTGTGTCGCTCAGAAAAAAATACCCTAGATTTTTGCGCTTTAGAGACTAGCCAAAAAAAGGAAACATGAATGGTCATGGCTAGATGGCACCCTAATGCTTTCCAAAAAGTGTGTGGCTTCCCTTAGGCTCCAACAAGGCAACAACACCCTTTCCTTGCTCCATTCTCGTAGCATGCATGCATGCTTTCCTCTTGGTTTGCTTTGTTAGTTTCTCCATTCCTCTTGCAGACCTTTAGTTTCGTTTTCTCTGTTTTGTCCTCTGATTTGGGACAACTCCCACCGATTCCCCCCACTTTCTTTTACGTAGCATTCTTTACAGTGAATTGTCGATGGAACTACCCATGTAGGGTAAGTTTCCCACTTGAATGGGGGGAAGAGGAAGGTGCGGATCCTTGTTGCCCAGTTTCTCTTTCCCATATCTCAATTTATTTGTTGTTGTTCCTGCTGCAAATTTTGTATATATCAATCTATATATAAAGAAGGCTGTAAGAAGATACAACAAATCTTGATTCGTTCCTGAAAGAAGAGTCATGAGGGGCCAAAAACAAGTTGAAGCCCATTTATTTGGCCAGAATAGAAGAAGAGGCACATTGTAAATTGGATTGGAAGCTGCCATATATATATAGTTACATACATACATCTGAGGTATGGAGAAGACACCAAAGAAGAAGAAACTAAGTGAATCAGGATCGAGGCAGAGCCTAGGCGGCAGCCCAAGGACCAGCAGGTGCAACTCAAGGACCAGCCAATGCAGCGGTGGAGAACAGACGAGACCCCATCATCCAGCTGCAGCGCTAGCAGTGGACGACGACGATGCTGTCTTCATTGGGCTGGCCTCCGAATTGAAGGAGGAAGGAACGAGGCTTTTCCAAACAAGGGACTATGAGGGGGCAGCGTTCAAGTTTGACAAGGTGATCAAGCTATTGCCACAGGGGCATAACGATATGGCCTTCCTGCACTGCAACATCGCAGCATGCTACATGCACATGAATCCTGAGGAGTATCATCGTGCCATCGACGAGTGTAACTCGGCGCTAGAGGCGTCACCGACGTACACGAAGGCACTGCTCAAGAGGGCCCGGTGTTTCGAAGCCCTAGACAGGCTGGATCTAGCCTGTAGGGATGTGGAGAAGGTTCTGAGCTTGGAGCCCAACAACGTGACGGCGTCAGAACTCTATGAGAGTATTAAGGAGGTGATGGAGATGGACGAGCAGGTCTCGTCGCTGCAGAAATGTCAGGTTGACGAGCCTGCTGCGATCAATATCGCAAAGGAGAGGATACAGAGGAGGGTGTCGCGGAAATTTAGAAATTCCATAGTCGAGGAGGAGGTATGGGAGATGATGATTCATGAGAATAATGAAGAGCAGCAGGAAGAGGAGGAGGAGGATCATGGGAACAATAACAGTAATAATAACGAGGATGGCGAGAAACACAGCAGCAGTAAAGAGGACGCCGTTAGCGAGATGCAGGAGAAGCGCAGCAGCCTGCAGGACAGGCACCCTGAAGAGACCAAAACCTTCAGGAGCGCTGACTACAACAAGCAAGGTGGCGTAACAAATACTAACAACGAAGCAGGGGGAGTGGGGAGGAGGTATGCCCAAGCCCAAGATAGCCATGAAAAGCATCTCAACGAGATACTGGTGAAACGCATCCAGCCTGAGAAGCAGGGGAAGCACACGACGACACAGAATCAAGCAGCCAGCAGCATGGAGAGGCGTAATAAGAAGCATTTTGAGGTCGGCAGCCATAGCAAGCAAGAGAAGCAGCAGCAGGACAAGCAGTATGAGAGGTACACTAACGCCAACGTCAGCCTGCAGGGGAAGCACTCCTTGGTGGAGGAAAAGTATGAGATGAGGTATATGCTGCCAGAAAAGCAGATTACCACCATCAAAGCGGCAAATAACTACGGTAGAGAAAAGCATACCAAATACTTTGCTAGTAGGGAGAATCAGAATCATGAAGCTGCTGCTGCTGCCAGCATACAAGTGGTAAAGAAGAAATTTAAGTTTGTCCATGGGGACGACATACGGATCGTTTTAATTCCAGAAAGCTGCAGCCTGTTGCATGTGATGGACATCGCTCGGTACAAGTACAACCCACACCTCAAGTCGTTCCTTCTGAAATTTATGGACAAAGAGGGGGACCTGGTGACCATCACCTCCACCGAAGATTTAAGGTGGGTCGAGGACCTCTACCCGCAAGTCCCGGTGCGGCTGCATATAAAAGAGGTGAGTCCCGAGCGGGAGATCACTAGGGACCTGATGTCCTCCTCTTTCGCGGAACACCGAGAGCAGAACCATTACAGCAGCACCTCCCACGACTATGAGTGTGGAAGCTCGAGGAAGGAAGCAGACGAACGGAATAATCCTCCCTGCACCACCGATGACTGGATGATGCAGTTCGCTCGCCTGTTCAAGAACCACGCTGGCTTCGATTCTGATGCATGCGTGGATCTCCATGACCTTGGCATCCGGCTGTACTACGAGGCGATGGAGGACACCATCACAAGTGAAGAAGCGCAGGAGATATTCCAAGCAGCAGAGGCCAAGTTTCAGGAAATGGCGGCGCTGGCATTGTTCAACTGGGGTAACGTCCACATGTCCCGTGCAAGGAAGCGACTGATTTTATCTGAGGATACCTCTAAGGAGTCCATACTTGCCCAGGTGAAGTCAGCGTACGAATGGGCCTGCACTGAGTATGTCAAGGCTGGGAAGAAGTTCGAAGATTCTGTGGATGTGAAGCCGGACTTTTATGAAGGGCTTATTGCGCTCGGGCAGCAACAGTTTGAGCAAGCCAAGCTTTCTTGGCGTTACGCTGATACGTGCAAAGTAGACATGGGAACCGAAGTGTTAGAACTTTTCAACCATGCTGAAGACAACATGGAAAAGGGAATGGAGATGTGGGAAGGGATCGAGTATCTGCGAGTCAAAGGGTTGTCTAAGTCAAGGATGGGGAAGATCGTAGTGGATAAACTGGGTCTCAATGAGCAGAGAAAAGATTTATCTCCGGATGAAGCCTTTGAACAGGCCTCAAACATGCGCTCGCAGCTAAACATTTCATGGGGCACCATTCTTTATGAACGCTCAGTAGTAGAATTCAAGTTAGGACTCTCTAGCTGGGAGGAGAGTCTTCAAGAAGCCATTGAAAAATTTAAGACCGGAGGAGCTTCGGTAGCAGACATCAGTGTGATGGTAAAGAATCACTGTGTCAACGGAAACAATCAAGAAGGTATGACGATGTATCCATTTGTTCTTTAGTTTCTCCTGTGCAGTTTTATCTTGTTGCTAAATTGGATTGTCTACCTTCAATCATCTATATGTACAGTATAACGCAAGAACAATTTATGATCGGAATTCAGATTCTATGTGTAACTAACTCATGTTATGCCACAAACTGAAACTAATCAATTCAATGAGTTTTAATGCTAATTGTTTGTAACTATAATTTTACCATTTCTCCCCACAAAATTAGGATGCTAGCCAGACTGCTACATCCTCTTAGCTAGCTCTACAGGAGTATTTCTAATGCATGTGATTTTTCTATATTACGCAGGATTAAGCTTCAACATTGATGAGATAGTCCAAGCATGGAACGAAATGTACGATGCTAAAAAGTTAAAAAATGGTAGTTCTTCTTTCCGGCTCGAACCTATATTTCGAAGGAGGCCTTCAAAGCTGCATAATATACTAGAGCACATACACTACACGTGAGCTTGTATCAATCATTGGACTTGGATATGCTGTACACTTGGATAAGAATGTTGATACTTATTTTCCTGTGCAATAGGTAAATTTATTCTCTATCAGCAATAATTAGTGCACTTATTCCCAAATATAATACGGAAGTTTTTATACACCATGAGACCACCAATTTACTTGTTTGGCAACCCGATACTAACAGTTCTGTGTGTGGCATTAAGAGGCCTGGTGCTGCCTGAGTGTGCAGTATTCTAACATTTTGGACAGTTAGTTATCATTTAGTGAGATGTTGACCACAAAAGGATCATTGTGGGAAATATATCTTTGCATTATTTCTCACCAAAAACAAGTGGAGCTGTCAAATTAGAGCTTGTTTGGTAAAGCTTTGGCTGCAACTTCTAGGCTAAATCCAGCAAAAGGTGTACCAAAAAGTGATTCTTTGTAATGAACTAGGAAGCTTGGAGCTAAAAAAAAATAGTAGCTTCTCTTGATTTACTTCTGGTGTAGGAATACCTTTTATCAATAGTTTATTTTAGAAAATCCAACAGAGTCACTTCATTTAGAGAATCAGTGGGAGGAGCTATTCCAAACTAACCCTTCCTTTCATCCCAAAATGCTCCCTCCAGTTCATCTCTAATATGGTAATATCACAACCAAGCTCAGCTCATCCACTGCCTCCAGTCTGCTCCCCCCTCCAACCCCCAACACACCTCCAGTGCGGAGCCGTGGCATCTCCACAAGTTGAATTAAAGTTTTTTTAGTTGTACTTCTCTCGTAATTTTCCCATGTTCCCAAAGGTTCTCCTAATCAAAAGAAAAGGACAAAAGGATAAGAGTTAGTTTAAGATATATAACCTAAACAGGACATACCTTGTGGAAACTATGGTTTAGAAGCAATGGTTTAGCACTCACTTATATATACGAAATACCCTATATGTATGGATTTGTGTAGACTTACCATTTTCTTTGAAAGTTTCTTTAAGAGAACATTATGATATAGTCGTCGCTAAAATGAGAATGGTTTTAACATGGTTTTGCAGACTAGTATTTGGATTTGTGCTGCATTAACACATCCAAAGCGGCGTTTTTCCAAGTCGAGCCAAGTGAGTTGCTCAGAATGCTGTTTTCTAGAGTTAAGAATATAGCATCAAGTTTCACCTGTACAAATGCCCTAAGTTTGTATTGTAGAAAAATAGAAAACCTCAGCTGAATTGTACCTTTGGTAGATGAAACACACATGAGTGAAAAGTTCGAAGTCATGGATTCTCCGGAAGATACAACTTTTTTTTCTGGAAAGATTTCTGTAAATTTTTTAATCCATTGTATGTCATCCGTTGTGTCATTGACTTGTGGGTGCTTGGTGCAGACCCACCATGTCGGAACCGCAGCACGTAAGAAAGCAGCTGCATTTGAGAGATTATTCCCTCCAGGTTTGCAGGTCACAGAATTTAGCACGATACGAAAAGAGATATAATAAACAGTCGAGTTATCGAAAGGAGCGACTAATTATTCCTTTCTGATAAAAAAAGTAGAGGTTGAGAAACATGTCTGCACAAGGTCCATCTGTATATTCATATTCTGTGATTTGCAACCTGTTCGGTAATTCCAAGTTTTAAAAAGAAAAATAATGGACTAAACGCATCTTAGCCACTCAAGCTGTATGATGAGTGTTTACCGTTGTTAAATCTGGCACAACAATATAGTTAACATATAATCACATTATTTGAATAATTAATCGGCTAGTCAGATCACGAATTGCTAATGGTTAATTAGCCTTGTTAGAGATTAATGACCAAGACATGTTTTATGCATACTGGCTGTTACACATGCCGCTACTGCCCCAGCAACGGAGAATGAAGAACCGGGAGATCAGGACACTGTTGCTCATTTGGCACACGAAGGACCCAAACCAGATGAGCACAGAAAGAGCGCACGAGCCAAGCGTCCGAATACACGAGTGGTTGGTCCAAGTTGGGCTTATTCCTAGGCTCTAGAAGCAATTGCGTTGCTATGAACAGTATAAAAAATCCTATTGTATAAAAAGTGAGAGGAGGGCAACTTGAAGACGATAAACCACTTTTACTTAAGCAATCTGTCCTCCGAAACCCCATCTCATGTTCTTCTTCTCTCCATCTCCTATCCTACCTCCTAACCTCTGGTACCAGAGACCGTTGATCCACGACCGTGGTTGTGGATCCGTGTTCCACCGATCGATGGCAATCGCCACAGCTGTGATTGAGTTCCCAACGATCAATGAGTTGCTAGTTGTCGACAATCTCCTGTAATTCCTAGGGACGCTGATTCATTTGTGGGGATCTTCTTGATCTAGAGCCTTGCCACCGCCAGCTCCTCCCCCGCCACTAAGCCACCACTATACTCACCATCAATGTTGTCGCGGCGCCATGAATCCGGAGTAAGGGTTGTTGTTGGATGAGATGAGGCGCTATAGTGTCAAGATGGTAGACTAGAGAGGGGGTGAACAGCCTTTCTTAAAACCAATTGCTAGCTAGCTAACATAAATGTGGAATTAAACTAATCGGTCTAGTCAAGACTATACCCATCTATCTATCACAAGCACCTTATAAAAGATCCTACTAATTGATGCAACTAAGGTACGTACCAAGCTAGTGGGAGCTCACTTAAATAATTCTAGTTAGCAAGATCACACAAACCTAAACAACTAGTCAACTAAGCACACCAGGAGCTTCTACACATGCTAATAATCAAAGCGCACAAAGGACAAGCTCAACTAGCACTACTCACTAGTTACACTACACAAGCACAACTAGAGAGCTAAACTACTTAGCTACACAAGCCAAGTCATGCTACATAGCTACACAAGCTAACTAGCACAAGAGAGCAACTAATTTGCTACACAAGCTAACTAGTTAGACAAGAGAGCAACAACACTAGCACAAGTAATACAAGCTAGTTTAGGAATTGCAAACCAATAGTAAGAGGATGCCATGGTGATTTTTCTCACGAGTGTCATGGGTTCATAACTACGGCAAGCATCGTGGTTGTTCGTTGGAAGTCAGAAGTGTGGGTCTCCTGTGTCGTGGGTACTCAAAAACACAAGGGAGACACAATGGAGGACATGATGCCAGGGACTCGTTGTCCACCGATGTGGACTCCTTTAGGGGGTGAAGTTCGTTCTTGCAGTTGGCGACATAGGCCAAGCTCGCAAAGGTGAGGACTTGTCCTAGGGACGAAGGTGCTAGTGGCGACGGCAACCCCTCCAGAGAAATAGACGCCACCTTCTAGGGTGATGCCGCCTGCTCGCCACTGTAGAGCCAAAATCACACTTGACATGTGCCCCTACCTTGCATGCCAGCTATCACGGGTTCGTAGCCACGGCAAGCATCGTGGTTGTTCATCGAAAGTCAGAAGTGTGGGTCTTTGGTGGCTCGGGTACTTAAAAACACAAGGGAGACATAGCGTTTTATCCTGGTTCGGGCTATCGAGGCCCTACATATAGCAATGAGGTGTTCTTTGTGTTTAGGAGCACCCAAATCAGGGGATTGCAATGGAGGAGAATGATAGTTTGGCAAAGGACCGCTTAGCACTATCCTACGGCTCATAGGAGGTGAAGTTCTTCCCAACGAGTAACAGACTGACCCTCTCTCATTGCTCTGTCTAGCCGATGGTTCTGCTGCCGAATCGGCCTTCCTCTCTCTAGGAGCCGACCTCCCCCTTATATTCTGAGGAAGGTCAGGCACAAGTCGCTTCAGTCTATGGTATACATGCGTTGGGTGTAGGGGGGTGCTGTCATGGTGTGGATGAACATTAGCTTCGTCATGTAGGGGAGTCGGAGGAGCTGTACACGCCACCTGGCATCGTCGCTGCCGCCAGACACTTGACCGTCAGGGGGTGTCTACCGCAGTCCATCCTCCCCTTGGTGAGCCTTCTTGAGGCTTTGTCGGTCGAGGGGCTGACGAGTGGGCCCTAGAGCCTGCTGCCCCTAGAGTTGGTGAAGTCACTTGTCCTATTGTGTCACACCGATTGTGTGACCCTGTTGAGGGAGTGGTGGACAGCGCCTCGCGTCCGTTGAATGAGCTATCACCGTGGAATCTCTGTACCTACTAGGGTCTCGAACGCCAAGTAGGTTGCCTATTGCTCGGGGCATCGGTTCACCGTTCGAGATCTAGCTTAGGTCGGTGCTGGATTGGAGTTAGGCTCGGCTACCGTTGCTTGGGAGCCTGGGGCCCTAGCAAGCCCCTGAGCCTTGAGCAGTGGCCATTGGCATGCTCGGGCTCTGCCCAACTCTATCTACAGGGTGTGCGCGAGCGTACTCGATGGGTATGGCCCTCGAGTGATCTTGTGAGGTCGATCGGGGGTCCATCGGTCGGCACCTTGGTACTCGGGGACTTAACATACCCCTATTTTTTACTCTCGTCACCGAGGCTCGATGATTTGCCAACTAATTAATCCCCATTGAGGCAATACCAAGGTTGTCGCCGATCCTCTTGCTAGTGGTGAGCCCACAAGCTCACTCTCACACCTCAAGACGTCCTCATACAGAAGCTATAACACATCATATGGATGGAACACTTGGCGCTCTTCGCACCTCGCTTCTACTAGAGTTCCTCTTTGTGATCTCCTGTGGGGTGAGCCCAATCCCCCTCAACAATGCAATCTCCTCTGGAGCACCGCACCAACTTCAGGCATGCTACACAGATAAAACTGCAAGCACAAGGTTCTTACCATAGCCTTCACTCAGGAGTATTCCAAGTTATTGACTTCCATGGGAAACATGGAGTGAAATACCTAAGAATCAAGATCATCCTCTAATAGAAACAAAGGGTAAAGGATGATCTATAGAGAGGATATATATGGTCCCAAGATACTTTTGAAGAATCAGACAAGATTATATTACTGTTGTTTACTTCATGGCACAAACCAAGCCAACAACAAAAAGAGATGATAAGGGTATTTGGCTTGATTCGCAAAGTCTATCACTACCTCCTAGCTACCACACATCTGTGGAGTAGGCTGTATCAACAAGTAAATTAT